CGAAGCGGAGGGCGCCAGCCCCGGAGAGGGATGAGCAGGGGCGCCCGCTGGCTCCAAGAAGCCCAGAACGTAGTTTGGTGGACGCTTCCTGCGCTTCTAACGCCTCCACCTTGCCCGCGAGCACCCCCGTGTGACGTCACTGGGAACAATCCCGAACTTCCGAGAACTGTGCAAGGGGGAATCCCCTTTCCTGTCTCATCCAGCTGGAAGGAGGGAATCCCCCCCCCCCATCCTATCAGCGGAAGCCAACATTAACCGTGAGCTCGTCTTGTGTCTTCGCGGGCGATGTTTGTCCAGGACGACTTGTTTCTCGCAATAGCACCGCCTAATATGAAGCCAAATCCTGCAAGCGTAATTGTTCTCCGAAGAAGAAAACGAGCGCTCAGGCGCAATCCGAAAGCAGGGGAAAAAAGGAACTGTCCTCACTAGCCGATGTCTCGAGACCGGTCCGATCTCAGAGATAAACGACGCTCTCCTCTTCTTCTGGCTGATATCTGCCTGCAGCTCCTCAGCGCAGCTTAACACACGCATCTAGCTACAGCACTTCGACACGTAGGACCAGAGGCGAACACTGTTGAATTCCTTGACGGGCGCTCCTGGTCTCTACCGACCGAACGAGGGAGTTTCCTAGACCTCAGTGTCCCAATAGAAGCGAATAGGCGTAGCTCAGGGTTGAACTGTGGAGTCCTTGGGGTTTTCTTGCTTGGTTGTTTTCTTGCAAACGTTTCGTTACCCGGCTAGGTAACATCTTCAGTGCTAAAATGGGATGGGGTTTGCTCTCTATTTATGTGCTGTGGCCTGCCTTGCCGGTGGGGTGGGGGTTTTGTTTTGCTCCTCTGGTAGTTCTTTAATTAGCATCTGTTTGCTGCTTGATTGTGTGTTTGGTGGTAACCTTGCTTATCTGGGTGATGATTGCTGGTGATTGATTGCTGGTGAGGCAATCTTCTGGTCTTTTGTTTTCCTTTTTATTGTCTCTTTTGAGTAGTGTGTAGATGTGCCTGTTGATGGCTGCCTTGTCTGAATCAAGCTTCCAAGAATTCCCTCCCATTTTTGGATTTAGCTTGGTCTAAGATGCTAACAGTTTCCCAGTGGAAACTATGGTTAAGTCTGTCCATGTGTTGTGAGATTAAGAAGTTTTTGTCATGTCTTCTGACTGCTAGTTGGTGTTCATGGATGCACTCTGCAAGCCTTCTGCCCGTCTGTCCTACATAGTGGTT